GGACACTGAGTTTAATTACTTGTAAACAAAGGAAAAGAAGAATACTGTTAAGTGAACCTCCACCTCGAGATCTTTGTGCCCTGTCAAAATTGCTCTTCGGGAAGTTTTACTGCTGGTTTGTTAACCTTTCCCTGACAAAAGATAAACTGAGATCTTGTGCGTTTATCTTTCTATTCAAAATCACATCATAATCATTCAAGTATACTGCTTTAAATTTAATATTCAGACACAAGGCTTTTTACAGGTTTGGTAGGAAGAACATGAGAACATGAAAACTGAAGATTACTCAGCTCTCCCTCCTTATTGGTACTTTCTACACATACTGGGGGTGGGGGGGGGCAGAGGAAATTCATTCTGCTGCATGGCTCAGCATGATTCACAAATTGCAGGCTAGCATTTTGAAATGTCATTTTTATTGATCTCCATTTGATGTTCCATTTGCCTTTCCTGGAGTAGACGAATTACGTTTATGGCATTTCCCTAATAGCAGACCTTGAAAATCTGAGTTTAAATTGAGCTCTGAAAAAAACGTAACCAAATGAAGTTATCAACTAAACAAAACCATATGGATGCACATAAATTATTGCCTATTTTAGCATTAAAATATATCTTCTCTAAGACTTCATAGGTCACAATAAAGGTGTCAGCACACTACATAATAGAATAACATCTCAGGGCATGACAGGCAGTTAGAAACTGTAAGGAAAGTCAAATCTCAGACACAAAATGTAAATCTGTCAACTGAACACATGAAATCAAAAGCATGGCTCAAAGAGTGAGGTTAAAAAAACAAATATCCAATCCTCTTCTGTAGCACCTAGCCATCTGTGCAGGACAGCCAGTTCCGTAATAAAAATCAAGTATAACAAGCCAATTTATATGGCTAGCTACATATTTCTTTTCTAGCAATTTGGAAAAGAAATTACCAATGCGAAGCTATTGTTACTCCACAGTAACAGATAAAAGTTTGCTTTATAGAATAGGAATCACATTTAAATGCATTTTAGTACTTTCAAATGGTGTAGTTATTTCCTAAGACCATTTGGTTTTTTTGTTTTTAATTTTTTTTTCAACGTTTATTTATTTTTGGGACAGAGAGAGACAGAGCATGAATGGGGGAGGGGCAGAGAGAGAGGGAGACACAGAATCGGAAACAGGCTCCAGGCTCTGAGCCATCAGCCCAGAGCCTGACGCGGGGCTCGAACTCACGGACTGCGAGATCGTGACCTGGCTGAAGTCGGAAGCTTAACCGACTGCGCCACCCAGGCGCCCCCCTAAGACCATTTGTAAATGAGTTGTAGAAAGTTCACTTAGAAAACAATTACAACGTCAAGTAACAGTACATCATCCTTTGGGTCATTTACACACAGGAACGAACTGCGAGTTTCCAGCTGAAGACACTCTAAGAGAACAGGTACTTAATAACATAGAATAAGGAACTTAGTAAGCCTTTGATTTTAAAAAGCCAAAATTTTACGTGTTTAGAGGAATGACTGATTTCAAATGTTTTACTCCACAGAAAGCATATAAGAAAGCATGCAGCATCAATCACAGACAGAGCAAGACAGTGAAATCAATGCCAGTGCATTTCAAAAAGCTTCAACTTCTACCCATCCTCCAAAACCTGTTCCAGTCCCATGTCCTTAAACGATACCGATCAGCTAAGGCACAAGGTAGCTGTATCACTGCTGACCTCCCAGAACACTCAGCTTTTTTTCCTATAAATACTGTCTACATTTAACACATTCTTCTTAGCACGATGTTATCTTTGTGTATCTCAACTCCATTACTTGCATTTTAAGTTCTTTATGAGACCTCAACAAAGAATGACTATATGGATGCATGGATGGATGGATGGATGGATGGATGGAAGGAAGGAAGGAAAGAAGAGGAAGGAAGAGGAAGGAAAGAAGCAGCAAACAAGCAAGCTTGGGCAACAAAATCCAAGGTTATAGGTTACAGATGATCTCAGATGTTGAAAATTATTTTATTAAGACATGTTCTCAGGGCGCCTGGGTTGCTCTGTCAGTTAAGCATCTGACTTCGGCTCAGGTCACGATCTCATGGTTCATGGGTTTAAGCCCTGTGTCAGGCTCTCTGCTGACAGCTTGGAGCCTGGAGCCTGCTTTGGATTCTGTGTCTCCTCTCTCTCTGCTCCGCCCCTACTCGGGCTCTGTCTCTCTCTCTCTCAAAAATAAATAAACATTAAAAAAAATAATAAAATTTAAAAAGACATGTTCTAAAGAATCAGCACTAGATTACAAATGACAGTACGACCTCTGAGAAATAACCTTTTGAAAATTCTTTAATTCTTCATATTTTAGCCAATGCTTTGATATTCCAATTAACATGAAATAGGAATTTCAAAAATTATTATCAAAAAGCCATATTCTGGCAGCACAAAGACAGAACAGTGGTTTAGCTCCAGACTGAAATGTTCTTTTTTTTTTTTTCAACGTTTATTTATTTTTGGGACAGAGAGAGACAGAGCATGAACGGGGGAGGGGCAGAGAGAGAGGGAGACACAGAATCAGAAACAGGCTCCAGGCTCCGAGCCATCAGCCCAGAGCCCGACGCGGGGCTCGAACTCCCGGACCGCGAGATCGTGACCTGGCTGAAGTCGGACGCTTAACCGACTGCGCCACCCAGGCGCCCCTGAAATGTTCTTATACAAGGAAACAAGATCACCAAGATGTTCTTATAGTTTAAGCGAATCACCAATATCCTTATGTAATATAAAAAAGATGCTTATCAGGTAGAGTTGAAATGGCAAAGTATAAGAGACTATGTATACATTATGATGACAACCTTGTAAAACAAACTTTAGCACAGGTCAAAAAGGCTGAGAGAAAATACTACAAAATGAACAAAATGAGGGGCTCAAGGGCAGAGATGACAGGTGATATTTTTCTACTTTGTACTCTCTGCGTCTTTGGTATTCTTTGTCATTACGATAGATCTCTATAGAACTCATGTTTTATCTACTTAGATCTCCTTAAATCAAATCAGCACATACATATGTTAATTTGCGTCTGCTTTCATGTTTAAAAATGTTTTCGAATCAGGGGCATAAGTCTGCGTCACTGCTAAGCCATTCCAGTAGTAATGGCTTTAATGAGGTTCCTCATCTGCGCCAGGCCTCAATTTTCTCATCTAAGTAAATAAACTGCCTCAGCAAGATTAAATAATTCTCATGTGAAACACTTAGCCCACTAGCCCGCTCACAGTAATGCTCAATTTACATTAATTTAAAAGGTTTAAATATTTTGTACTGTTGACTGAATTCCCATATAGTAAATGGTCATCACTGATTAAGTACTTTGGTTAGGGGTGATCAAGTTATCCTGTGAAAAGCCTCCTCCCTCAAAGGACTTCAAAATCCAAGAAGCTCAAGAAAGATGTTTTTAATAGAGCCTAGTTCTCCTTTCCACTTAGCCTAGATAAGACCTCAGAATCCTTCTGAACACAGCAGCCCAGGGAGCCAGCACACTTGCTGGGAGAGTAAAAACCTATTTGTCACCAGCAGCCCAGACCAGGGGCTTCGCAAGGAGCTTCTCCCAGCACACAGGAACAAGGCCTGTGACACAGAAGGAAGTGGCCTTTCACAGATCTCCCAAGAATTAAATCCAGGAGTCAACTTCCAGTCACTCAATAAAATATTTCAACAATGTAGATTTTTAAAAATAAATGTCCACAGTTTTAGAAAAGTGTTTTGTTTCTTTTAGTGCTGCAAAATAGAAACATTATGGTAAATCTTCTTAACAGTGGATAGGGTCATGGATTCCTAGCTATATCATCAAAAAGCAAAGAAAACAAAAGCAAAAATTTGATAAATTGGACTTGATCAAATTTAAAAACTCTTGTGCATCAAAGAGCATCATCAAGAAAGTGAAAAGGCTATTTACAGAACAGGAAAAAGTGTGTAAAAATCCTATATCTGATAAGGGTCTGATGTCCCTCAACATATAAAGAATTCCTGCAATTCGACAACAAGAATTACAACCCTATTAAAGATGAACAAGGGACTTGAATAGACATTTCTCCAAAGAAGATATACAAATGGCCAACAAGCACATGAAAAGATAATCAACATCATTACTCACTAGGGACGTAAAATTCAACACCACAATGACCATCACCTCACAAGTACTAAGATAATTAAAACACACACACACACACACACACACACACACACACACACACTAGTAAGTATCGACAAGGATGTGGAGAAACTGGAATCCTTGTACGTTGCTGGTAGGGATGTAAAATGGTGCAGCCACTGTGGGTAAGAGTTTGGTGGTTCACCAAAACACTAAACACAGAAATATCGTATGATCCAATAATCCCACTCCTAGGTATATATAGAAAAGACTTGAAAACAGAGACTCAAGCAGACATTCGTATGCCAATGTTCTCTGTAGCATTAGTCACAACAGCCAAAAGGTGGAAATGGTGTTCACTGATGAATGAATAGATCAACAAAATGTGGTGTGTGTGTGTGTGTGTGTGTGTGTGTGTGTGTGTGTGTGTGATGCAGTATTACTCAGCCATAAAAAGGATGAGGTTCTGACACAAGCCACAACATGAACGAACCCTGAAAACATGCTAAGTGAAATTAACCAGGCACAAAAAAAGCCAAATCAGAAATACATAATTCCACTTACATGGGGTAACTAGAACAGTCAAATTCATAGAGACATAAATTATATGAGAGCTTACCAGGGTTTGGGAAGAACTGGAATGGGAAGTTACTGCTTGATGATAAGAGAGTTTCTGTTTGGGGTGATGAAAAGGTTTTGGAAATATATAACGGTGACAATCGCATAACTGTGACTACAATTAATGCCACTGAACTGTACATTTAAAATTATTAAAATGGCAAATGTTATGTTATATATATTTTACCATAATAAAAACTTTTTAAAAAATGGAAGTAAATTTAAGGACCCAGGAAAAAAACAAAAGAAAAAGAATAAATAAAAATGACACCACATCAGCACCTTTCTGCACACTGTGTTCGGGATAGAGGCGGCTGACATCTTCGGTTATGAGCTTCTCGGGCAGCAAGTCTAGCTTCTGACAACTGGAAAAGAATTAAAAAAACATTTACTAAACTACCAAACTTGCTATCATCCTAGAAAACCCGGTATCACATTCTGACATTAAGAGGCCAATTAGAGCAGCTCAATGTTGTAAACAAGCATCTGTTTCAGGGGAAAACAAAACAAAACACATTAAACTGGTAAGGTTCTAGAGTAGTACGAAGCAATGCCTAACATATTAAAGCCCTGCAGGATTATCTCACAGTGATTTTAACAGACGTGCAGGAGAGTCGTATACAAGACTGTATTCCAATAAACCCAACAAAGCTGGAATTTTTCTAGACAAAATTTTCAGAAACTTCAACTGGAGCTGAGTCCAAGAAGATACCAAGCTGACAACTACATCCCTACGTGCCTTCATCAGTCATATAGTAACTGTATAAAGGATGCTCACTCAAATGTTTAAAAAAAAAAAAAAAGTTTTTCTAAACCACTGCCTGACATGATCACAACCTAGACTCGTTAGGGAGAAATCTATACTAACACCTCTGAATCTTAAAGGGAACTGTCTTTGAGACAGTTATTTACAATATCAGTAATCAGAGTTAAGTTGAGAGTAGGTCTAAACTCCAGTCCCTTGACCCAAAAACCATGTCTTCATCTCTCCAAAGAGATTTATCTCATTTATTGCTCAAACTGCGTTTTTATTGGTTCACACATTCTCAAACAAATTGTCACATACATCAAAAATAAAAACATGTATGTCCACAAAGTTGATATACCTTTTCATCTTCCCATTGAAAAAAATTACAGTCTTTTCTATCTCTACAGGCTGAGCAGGCATAAAACCTCCGTGATTCTTCTTTCCCTTGGTTCACCTTTACAAACAGAAGAGTGGGTCCTAGTTCCAGAAAGGGACAAAACATATCAACAATCGTCATCTACATCAAGTTCTTAGTTTTCACTGCCCTTAAATAAAGCTTGATTTGGTTTTACGCACAATTTGTCATAATTCAACCTACATTCTGTTTAATTACTTTTTTTTTCCGTCACAATGTTTAGACACTGATGACTGAAGAAATGGCTTTTACAAACTAGTCTCTCCAGAAAGAAAATGCCGTAGTCAGTTGCTGTCTACATGATGAATGACCTGGCTCCTGAGACTAAAACATGGCCAGGGTCCAGAGAACTGAGCATTTTGCCACCTCCACCCAGTTATCCTTTCAGTGAAAATTTGGGCTTTTGGAGTTGGGCACATCCTCTCTCCATAAGTTAGAGAAAAACTAGGTCTGGTTTCTAAGCAATAATTCACGCTATTCTTCTCCCTTTCTTTTTACATTTTTATCTTTTATTTTAGAGAGGGAGAGCGCGCGAGCGGGGGAAAAGGACGGAGGGAGAGAGACACAGACACAGACACTCCTCAACAGGTTCCATGCTCAGCGCACGGAGGGAGGGGCGGGGAGGCTCGATCCCACCACGCTGGAATCGAGACCTGAGCGGAAATCAAGAGTCTGTGGCTCAGTCGACTAGCTACGCCCCTCTTTCTCCCTAACTTTTTAAAATAAAGATATCAAAACAACCAATGAAATCCACAAGTACTTGGCAACGGATTTACTCAATAACATGCATCCCCTTTCCTTAGACTGTCTCTTCCCTTGGCGGGGAGGGGGGGAGGGGAATGGAACAGCCACGGAGCCAAAACCGCAACAGTGAGGACTTCCTATGACAGTGTCTTAAATAAGCTGAAAACACTACGTCCCGAAGAAAGGGCGTTTTCTAGGGATCACACATGGTGGTAGAGAGCATAAAAATCTGGGAGCCGTAAGAAGCCCATGGCATCTTCAGGCTAACCCCCGCCCCTTGCGCCCGAAACCTCGGCAGAGCCCAAACGCGCACCCACCGTGAGGGCACACCGGGGCAGGCGTGGCGGGATCAGAAGGAAAAACCACCTCCACTCCCGAGCTCCCCTGAAGACCCGAGTTCCCCTCTTCCTCCACCGCTCCCAGCCACTCCCTGGGGGCCGCCATCTTCCCGCCACCGTCCCGAAAGCCTCCGTGCAAACAAAGGAGTCTGAGAAAGAGTGCCGCCACGCGGCACGGGGAAATCACAGCGCCCCCGCGCGTCTAGGAGGAGCTGAGACCGCCGGGGCTGAGGCTACGCCCTGAAAGGCAGTCTCTTCTGCCCCTGGCTCCCCCCAAAGGGGTCCCTGGCGGGCAGACCAGGGTAAGGGTTTGGGGAAATGGGGGGGGGGGGAATATTTGCACGCAATTTATTGGACCTGTGCAATAAGCTCACCTATTATCTGCTCTACCCTTAGCACCCCAAGCACCATCCTCTCGTAAGAATACAGCCAAAAGATGAGAGGACTCTTTGGAGCAAAGATTTGGTGGGGTTTTAAGACCAAAAGGCAGCATCACCACCACCAGTAGCTGACAATAGAAATAGCTGCAGCAACCGCGTTTGAGGGAAACATCCTCTTCTTTCTTCCCCAAAGTGAGAGTCACGCTGTCATCTTCTACCTCTTGGGCAACTGTTAACAGTTGAACGTTATCGTTGCATATGCATCGACATCTATACATCAGAGAGAGAGAAATAAACCTGTCCCTCTTTGCATACGACATGATTGTCTACATAGAAAATGCCAAGGAATCTGCAAAAATAATTCCAGCTGAAATTGAGGTCAGCAAGGTTGCAAGATAGGAGATTAGGAAACATACAAAACCCATCCTACTTCCATATTCTAGGAATGATCACGTGAACGCCCAAATTAGAAAGGAAATACCACTTACAACTGCTGAGATAAATGAAATACTTAGGTGTAAATCTAACAAACATGTCCAGAACTTGTATGTGGAACACTACAAAATGCTAATGACAAAATCAAAGGTCTAAATAAATGTAGAGACTGTGTCACTAGGTTAAGAGTCAACATAGCAGGGATGTCAGTTCTCCCCAGGTTTAGTGCATGTACACGTTTAACAGCATTTCTATCAAAATCCCAGCCAGACTTTTGCAGGTGAAGACATTATTCTGAAGTTTATAGGAAAAGCAAGGGAACTAAAGTAGCCAAAGGAACTTTGAAAAATAATAAAGAAGGAAGAATCAGTCTATCCAATTTCAAGACATTATAGCATACACACGCACATATGCACGGTTATGGGTGGAAAAGTAAAATTCTCCTTATAGTTCTAAAGAATTGATTTACACACACATATCTAACATCACACGTTTAGTCCTATGGCATATTAATTTAGAAATATTGCTCTTTTTCATGCACATTTCATACAGTGGTTTCACTTGATTCTCTCACCTGCACCTTCAGCATCTGGACTTTGACATAACGATGTCCCCGTTCAAGCTGTCCAGCACTGGTTGCCAGTGCACGTTATCTGCACTTATATGTCATTTGGATAGAAAATTCGAGACCCGGGGTGTCTGTGGCTCAGTCAGTTAGGGTCTGACTCTTGGTTTCAGCTCAGGTCATGATCTCATGGTTTTGTGAATTCAAGCCCCATATCAGGATTCTCTTTCTTTCCCTCTCTCTGTCTCTCTCTGCCCCTCCACAACTTGCGCTGTCTCTGTCTCTCTCAACATAAATAAATAAACTTTAAAAAATTTTTAAAAAACCCTCTAGATCCAAACATGACAATACTTTGAGAAATTTCATCTCAAGACCTAACTACCCATTCTCATTAACACTAACACTTTTATTGAAAAACTTTTCTTCCAGGTACAGATTTGTGATCTTTAAAAGACTTCTTTACAAAATTTGCAGTTGGATTCATGAACTCCTATCACCAAAAATAGTCACTGAATCCGTATTTTTCTAATTCTCCCTTTAACTCCCGACTCTGTGGGGTGACCTCTCTAAGCAGCCTAAGACGGTATGGATTTGCAGCCTTAACGGGTAAGCTTCCCCAAACAGTACAAGTATGACAAAGGTCGACCCAAATAAGGTAAAGTACCCTTTAGTGTGAGAGAATCAGAAGGTTTCAAAATTAAGGCAGTTCCCTCTTTTCCGGGGGATAATTTTGGGAAGGAAAACAAAACAAAACAAAACAAAACAAAACAAAACAAAACAAAACAAAACAAAACAAAACAAAACCCTCACCTTATATTCAGACATATCTGGTAAAAGTCGTGCGTGTTGAATATTTGCTGAGAGGGGCGAGACTCTGACTTCACAACAATAAGCTGGGGATGTTTCTTCTCATCGTCTAATCTGTACAGGAAAATCCCTGGGTGGAAGAAAGCCGAGGGACAGAGAAGGATGCTCAAAAGGAAACCAGTGGCAGAGCTGGAGGTGGGTCTCCTGAGCCCTGAGCGCAGAGCCAGACCCTGGGCTCGCAGAGCATAGTCTCTGACACCAGGCCACTAAGACGGGTCCAGTTCAGTGACTCCTCCAACCGGAGGACACGGGCAAACCGCCCAGCTTCCTGCGGGACCCGGAAGTCTTACTCCTTACTTTGCCAGTAGGATGGAAGCTCTCCAATCTCCAAATCTACCGCAGAGAAAAGGGTTGAAGGCAGAGGAGCGTTTTGTGGTGATGCCTGACCGACTTCCCTGTCTTCCGTACCAGAACCCCAGTTTCCCTCGGCAACCTTCCCCAACTTTAGCTCACGTGATTGGAGTGATTGGAGAGGTAGGAAGAACCACGGGGACTGGCTCGGGTTTGGGCAAATGCCCGGGCGCTTCTGCTAGAACGGTTGGGGAAGCAACTACAGTAGTTCAATGTTGTCGTCTTAGTGGCGTCCGAGATGTTGATTTCTCATGTGCCGCACAGGCTCAGCTTTCCCATCTCGCCTGGGGTGGGTGACTGGCTTGTCTAGGGTCGCGTTGGCCGAGCTAATTCGGCTCTGTTGCATGTGTCTCTCGTGCTCCTCCTGGATCCAGCGGGCCAGTCTGGACATGTCTTTCTCATGGGAACAGCCGGAGCTCAAGAGTTAGGACAAAGGGACAAGCTTCTGGAAGCCTGGGCTTGGGGCTGCCACTGTTACTTCCACCGTAGGCTTTTGGTTCACGCAAGTCGCACGGCCAAGCATTGCGAAGTTACATGGCAAAGGGCAGTGGGTCAGAAGGGGGTGAAGAAGGGGAGCCCGTGACACAATCTGTCACTGAAGCGCTCTTCACTGGAGAAACCAGGTAGCTGTTGGTATTTGTGGTAGTTATGGTTTTTGCAGTTTCCCACCACTTAAGGAGCGCCTGCCTTGGCCCAAAAGTCAATAAGAGGAGAACAGAATTAGGAAATGGGAACGTAGGAGGATACCACATGAGCACCTAGACCCAGCCATGCCTGAAGCTTTCACTTATGTGGGTCATATAAGTTTCTCCTTAAGCCAGTTTGAGATGAGGTTCGTTCTATCAGTCACACCCAAGAATGCCAACTGGGGCTCCTGGGTGGTTCAGTCCGTTAGGCATTCCACTCTTGATTTCGGCTCAGGTCACGATCTCTCAGTTTGTGAGTTTGAGCCTTGCATCAGGCTCTGTGCTGACAACATGGAGCCTGCTTGGGATTCTCTCTCTCTCTCTCTCTCTCTCTCTCTCTCTCTCTCTGCGCCCCTCCCCCACACTCTCTCACTCTCTCAAAATAAACTTCAAAAAGAATGCCAACTAAGGCTCTATGGCTGCAGCCATAATATGGCACGGATGTACCTTCTACTAATATGCTTTGAAGCTCCTTTCTGGTCAAGACCAGCTAACCCCTCTCTCCATTCTCCCTGCCGTCCCCCCCCCCCCCCCGGTCAATATGCCACCCGCGTTTGCCCCTCCAGTGTGAGAGCTGGGAACAAGGTGCAGAAGAGAACGTGCATTTATGTGCGTGAAGGTGACTGTTCCTTCACATAGAAATGAAACCCAGAGATCAATAAATCTACTAAAAGCAAAGTTCCCTGGGTTCCATAGTGTCCCCCAAAGATTGATATCCCCCTGCAACCTCAGAATGTCGATCTCGAAATAGGGTCTTTGCAGGTGGAATCGGTTAAGGATAGAGGAGATATCATGCTGGATTCGGGTGAACCCTACATCCGACGAGAGTGTCCTTTTGGGGAGAGGAGAGGACACAGAGACACACACAGAGAAAGCCACAGGAAGACGCCACGAGCCAGGCAACGCCTGGGGTCACTAGGATCTAGGAAGAGACAAGGAAAGATGCTCCCCTAGAGCCTTGGACGGGAGCCTCACGCTGCTGACACCGCCAGAGCTGTGAGAGGATACATTTCTGTTGTTTGAAGCCTCCTGGTTTGTCGCACTTCGTCACAGCAGCCCTCGCAAACATACGCCTCATCTGGGTTTGACATCCTCCTCCCTGAGAGCCCAGCTCTTTGTTTTATCTTCCAAGTGACCTTGGAGAAGTCACTGTCTGAACTTCGGTTTCCTCACCTGTAAAAATAACCACGTCTACCCTCAAGGACTGGGAGGGTCAGCGTACGTGAGCAAAAAGTCACAGAGCACTTTGTCACCAGCCCAGTGACGTGTACAGGTTAGTCGTCACGTTATTCCCTTATGGCTGCCTTCAAGTAGGTCAGGGGGCCACTCTAAGGAAGAGAACCCGTTTCTTCTGGATTATTCAACATGGCCAGCCCCAGGTGAGATTATAAACAGACAGATTTGGGCTAAGAAAGAACATGGGGTTCCTACACATGGAGCCTGGGGTGCAGATCCTTTTGCAAGTGGTGTTTGGAAGGAGAAACTTGTAAAGAGGTCAGAGGAGCAGGAAAGGGCAGGGGTAGAGCCGAGGCAGACGTGTTTCAGCCAGAGTGGATCCTCAGCCTGATGCACAGGGAGCTCTGCCATGCGACCAGTCCCGAGGCATTGCCTGGTCTCGGGGTGCCCTTTTGTACCCTACCACCGGTCAGTCCTAATCCCAGGCTAAATTGAAATCTTCTGTGGGACTTCACAGAAGGCCCTTCAAGGGACTGACTCCGCTGGGCAATGTATCTCCTTACTCTTCATCCCTCATCCTCCCTTCTGGTGGAAAGCAGATGTAACGGCTGAAGCTCCAGCAGCCATCTTGGGCCTTGAGGTCACTGT